GGAGTTCAATGTGGTAACCCTGTCATTGAGGCGGCTAGATGGGGAAAAGACTGACGAGGTCAAAGGTGGAAGCGGGGAGGTCAGTTAGGAGATAATTGCAAGAATTCATGAGAGATGATGATGCTTGGCCTAGGGAAGTACATGTATGTGTACTTACTCCTAGCCCCTTGTCTTAGCACACAAACTGCATGACTGCGTGCATACTTTACAGCTCTATTGGAAAGTTTCTCTCTTTGCTGTCTTCCAAGGTCACTCTTAAATATGGCTGTAATGTAGCTGTCATCCATTCTTAACTTTCTCCCACAAACTGAGCCAGCCCATATGTAAAACCAAGCTCCGACCTTTTCCTCTTTTTTCAGCCAGTCATACAGAACCCACCCTCCCCACATATGACCATATACGCAAGCACGGGAAAGGAGTGCTGGTGAAATTCTGTTGGGTAACATTGGGCTTCTGGGCTCCTGGCTCATGCAGCTTACTCATGCCCTCTAGTTCTGCTCTCTGTACATCCTGGATACACAATTTCCATCTTAAGGAAGAGGTTTCTTCTGGATCTTTCCAACTTTATAATTGGTGAGCTGACAGGACTAGACTTACAACGGGCTATTTGGATGTCTGGTATCTTTATATCTTCATGGTGAAGAGCTCTACTTCTTCTACGACCCAGTCACATGCCAGGTGCTGTTTCTCAAAAGTCACATAATTCTTTGCTTCGGATAGCTCAGCTGTCCTTTGGAACCTCATGGGCCACTATTACAGATTCCCTTCTGGGCCTTGCCGTTAAGTTGCCCTATCTTTTTCCACTGGTGACACTTATGATACAGCATCTGTTGGTTGAAGGGCTCGGTGGAGCTCCTTGCACTGCAGTTTTGATCTACTGCAAAGTCCTTTCTCATTCTGAGCCCCACCCAATGCCTTGCATGCCACCTGGTATAACTGAGTATCCCAAGATGTTGAGTGTGTTGCCTTCAGAACCTAGAGAGGCCTACCAGGTGCTTTGCTTCCTTGTGTTGGGAATTCTAAACCCCAACACTTTTTCACTTGGGAAGGGGTATCTCCGCATGTGCCTAACCACTGGATTCTTAAAACCTCCACGGAAGTAGCACTTTCTCAAATCTTCCTTGAATCTATCTCCCCCCCACTCTCTGGAGTATATATACCTTACTGAACTTCTGTTGCATTAGTTAACTCTTGTTTATCCTGCCTAATCAGTGTGTTGCCATTGATGTGATGGGTTGATGTGGTGGTCTGTGGATTTCAGGCAAGTCCAGACTGTTTAGAATATGGTGGAGGATAAGAAGCTAACAGCCCTGAGACAGAAGTGTAAATGAATATGTTCTCTTTCCCAGGTAAGTACAAACTGTTTCTAATCTTATTACATAGTTGGAATAGAAAATAATGCATTCGTCGATCAGCCACATACCATGTACCAGAGGCCTTATTAATCTGTTCCAAGGAAGATGTGACATATGACACAGCAGCTATGATAAGAGCTCCTGCGGGTTGAGCTTGCACGACTCTGCAGTCATTCTTCAAGATCCGTCTAACTTATGAAGCGGCCAGATGGTGTCCTAAATGGACAAATTCTAGGGACTACCATTCTGCATCTTCTAGAACTCTGAGAATGTCACTAATGCCTGCCATTCTCCCAGCCCTACCCTAGGATGTAATTCTGCTTTTTATTTACCATCTTGGTAGGAGGTGGTGAGGGGTATGGCAGTTTCAGAGATCTCCACTTGGCCTTCCCTTCTGTATAGCTCTTACCCTAGAAACCAGGGACCCAATGCCAAGTATGTTAGTTCTAATTGAACACTCAGAATTGGGGAAATGGTCACTGTGTGGGTCCATAGACCCACTGAGCCCCTTGTGACCTAGGGTTTAGTAAGGGCTTTATTATCTTACCTAGTCACTGTAAGTTACCATTCTAACTGGGGACTATGATACAACTTTGGGTTTCATTGTGAACCTAGACCCTGTATCCACTAGTTCTCCAAGTATCTGGTTTTTCTGTGTTATACATTGACCTGAATGAATGGCCATAGATCCCTTTGGGGAAGGACTGAGGAGATCATCCTAACATATTTGCCTGGGTGTCCTTCCTGCTAGGCGAAATACCTCTTCAGTCAGTGGGTTCTAGATCAGAAAATTGGCCCAGGTCTGGGTGATGAGCAGAGGATTATGATGTTCTATTGAGGTAACTGCCTTGAGCTACTTGCTCCCATTTTTTTTTTCCTAATTTTTGCTCCTCTATTCTTGCTTTTTTAGGTTTTCAGTTACAGATGTTAAGCACCATTTGAGTTGTCTGTCTGTTTTGCCCTGACAATGCCACATTCTGTGAATGTGTAAAGCCTCCTTTGCTGCTGCTCTGCTGTAGCTGGCTATCGCAGCATTGTGGCTTCCTGGTTTCTGGGGTTCCCTGCCACACCTGGCCACTGTTACTCCAGGGTGTCGTCATCCCCGTAGATACTGACAAGCCCTGCTCTGTGACTGTGTCTCCTACAGTCAGCCCTGGCCTGTGAAGGCCACGACTAAAATCCCTAGAGGTGCTTGTGTTTTTCTCACTAGCTCCCTGCCGATAGTGTTGGTGAAGGGTGTGTGCTCTGGGCCTACGATATAACATAACTCTGGGGTGTGTCTTCCAGCTTTACCTAATATTTCTGTTCTAACATAACCTACTTTCGACCTCTTTATTCCTATCTGTACTACCAGTCAGAGGAACTCACACCTTTTTCACTTCAGTAAGTGTAGTTTATAGCTTTTCCAGACTTCTGAGACCACTGGATCAACCGCCCTATCCCTTGGAGTCCTTGCCAGAGTATAAAATCGCATATCTCAAACAAATGGCCCAGGTGAATTCTTGCTTATCCAATCTTAAATTCTGGCTCCCTTAAACCCTTCCAAATCCAGTCTCAGTGCTGCTTCCCTGGCCCCTAATGGCACTTGTTCTTTTTTTTTTCTTTTTTGTTTATTCATCAGAAAGCACAAGGAGAGGGAGAAGCAGGCTCCCCACCGAGCCAGGAGCCTGATGTAGAACTAGGTACCAGGACCCGAGGATCATGACCTGAGCCAAGGGCAGACATAGCTGACTGAGCCACCCAGGTATGCTGGTACTTGTTCATTTCTGCAATTTTTTTGGTGATTTAGTCAGTCTCTTTGCTCTTTTATCAGGCCCAGTCTGTCTTCTCCAGACAGATAATGCTGGGAGGGCCATCAGACAATGATGTTGGTCTGACCCTGAGAGAGAAGAAAAGATCGGAGGGAGGGAGGAAGGGAAGGAAGAGCGATTAGTTTTCGACTGCAGTACAGTTCCAGAAAGTTTTAGCAATGCTGACAGGGAGTCCTTGAGCCAGTTACCTCTCGGAGAAGTCTTCATCTCCCAAGAACAGGCCTGCCTCAGTCAGCTGAGAGCAGCCCATGGAAAGCATGGCCTTGGTCAAACATGGTGCTGGATCTCAAAGCAGAGCAGCAGGGGCTGTCAGTCAGGTATGCTGTCTGCAGTAGGAGATGAGAAGAAATTTTCGTGGCCACCACATTCCATCTAGGACATGAGCTGGGATGACTTGAATGGCTATGGACTGGCTGGGGAGCTCTCTATCCACATGGCCACTGCATGGTCACCTTGGGCCCGTGTGTGGCCTAGAGGTCTCAGGATGGTTGTACCTCTTACACAGAAGGTTGTACTTCTTGGCTTAGGGACACGGAGTGAATGTGCTCAGAGACCAAAAGGAAGCTATAAGTCTTCTCATAACCGTGTCCTGGACCCCACACAGCATCACTTCCCCCATATTCCATCATTTATACCAGGTCAGCCCAGACTCCATAGGGAGTCTCAGACTGCTTTGGAGACTAGCTACCACAGTGGGACGTGTATGTATATAAACTCATGTAATGTTTCATTTGCTTACTAAGGTGGGCTCTGGTCTTTTCACTATTTGGTCTTTACTTGTGGAATCATTGAGAGAGTGGTCTGTAATAGCAACTCATGGATTATTGAATTATTCTTGGTCCTTTAGTGTAAGCTTGAGAAACTTTTATTCCCCACCCACCCTCCCCTACCCCCGGTACTTTTATTGGATTGCTTTTAAACCTATTTAAGACCCTCATATTTTATCTTTAAAAATTTAATTCCTGCCATCAAAGAGTTTCAGTATCTATGTACCATAGGGGACTGAGAGCAGAAGTATGCCATTATTTTTAAAAGAAATCTCATGGTTCGAGTCCCTACCACCAGAGCACCATGGAGATTCTCTTCCTGAAAAGCTGAAAGTCTGTCTTCAGTTGTTTTTCATGACTAACCACTATTTATTTGAATTCTCTCTAGGCATGAAATGACTTTTTGGGAAAATTTTCTATTAAAATTGTTTATAGACATATTTCTTAGTCCAATAGCAATAAACATAATTTTGCTGGTGTAAATTTTTTAAAAACTTGAAGGAATGTGCAGAACATTTGGTATCTGTACGCCATAACCTGTTTTCCTTACTCCCAACATTTGAGACCGTCTTTGGGTGAGAGTGGCTCTAGTGAAGGAGATAAGGGAAAGCTTTCCAAAAACCGCACACGTTCCCTCGTAAAAATAAAACTGGAGTCTTGGTTTAAGTCCAGCCAGCTGGCTGCCTCTGAGTTCATTATCAATCTTTAACATGGCCTTAACATATCTCCCCCACCCCCTTGTCAAAGCAAAATTCTAATCAGGCTTTCCCCATGCAAAGGTTTTATCCACACTGGGGCAGACCTGGCTTGGAACAATTTATTGGCAATACTGGTGTCATATTCAGGAACCACAGTTTTGTTGGACTGTGTTAACTTGAATGACAAGTATCAGTGGTCAGCTATATTTGAAATATTGTTAAAGTACCTAGAAATAATGGGCATTAAAATGCATTCCGTTCACTGCAACAAACCTCTAAAGATTTCTTGTCCTCAGTGGAACCGGCATACTGTGATTGTTATTTGGAACGTAATGTAATCTCAGCAGCAGCAGAGACAATGCAGTCCTCTCATTATGCACATGCTCTAGGATCGTTTATTTTAATGCTTTCAAATAAATATGTTCCATGCAGCACACCACAATAAATAAGGAGCAGCAATGTTCCTCTAGTAAATCCATCCATAACGTGAGTCACCATGTAAAACACTACATCTCAAGTCTTTGGCCCTGTACCGTATCATGAAGCACACCACATCTGCACCTAATCATATCTGGCTTCATATGGATTTAATAGGACTATGCCAGAAGTGCATGTAAGAACAAATTTAACCAGAGGTTTCCAGCTATTAAATACAGCTACTAAGTAGTTAAAAGGCAACAACTAAACCTGTAAAGCCTACACCCTTCCCCCCCATTTTTGAGACAGAAATATAAAGACAGAAATGCTGTGGTGAATGGCAGGTCAGTGGAAAGCGGGGTGGGATACATTTGGAGTACTTGGAGCAAAGCCGGCACGACAGAACACCCAAAATGTCACGCAACACTGATACTGAATGGACACGGAATACAAGTGGAACCGATGGCTGCAGCACTGAGTTCTAGAAGGTGAAGGTCGGGGTTGGGGTCGGGATGGTTCGCTTCCACTAGGCAGATAACTCAACGGTGCCTTCCTCCTCACTGTCAGCTCTGTTAGCGCGAATCTCCACGAGGGTCCTGGCGAAGCGGGTCCATTCGTCATTGTGGGGGACTGCAAGCTGCAAAGCAAGGGAATGGAAAATGGTGAGCAAGTGTCTCATGGGCCAGGAAGCTGTGAGGCCTGCCTGACTGTTCCTCCTGAGGCAACCGTCTCTCCGGTCTTCTTCCGGCATCAGCCCTGAAGAGGGACAACCAACGGTAAGAGAATAGTGTCCCTCTCAGAAGAAAAATCACGTGTGGCATTTGTAAAACTTTAAAAAGTTTATGTAAACCATACCCTGACAGTAGCCAGTTAAAGCACTTTCAGGAATGAAAAGTCATCCCAAGGAGACCAGAGTTAGAGCGAACCCAGCAAATACGAACTGCCCCACTGACGGGATGGAGAAGTAACTGTGGGATTGCCTTTCTCAGTCTGGGCTGTTGGTCCTTTTTCACAAGTGTGGCTAATGCACTAATATGCATGGCAAAAATCTAGTTTACATATACGAAGAAATCTTACTATGAAATAATGATTTGGCTTTTTCAGCAAGATCTTCTGTTCTAAGTCCTTTACATGTATTAACTCATTCCTCACAGCAACCCTATGGAGGGCAATATTAGTATCTCCATCTTACAGAAGAAGAAATCAAGGCACAGAAAGATGAAATCATCTTACTCAGTTTGCACAGCTAACAAGTATCAGTTCCGGTGTTCTCTAGCTCCAGGCTCTGCATCCCTAGGGATGCAGACTGATTTCGCCAGAAAGGGGGCATTCTGTAATTTCCCAAATACTATCTTCTTCTCTGCACAATTCAGTGAGGAGAAAATCAACCCCACCTGGTACAAATTACATGTATGAATTTTGTTAGCTGATTTAAAGGATAGTAATTTCTTTACATAGCATCCAAAGATGAATTGCTTAAAGATAACCATGCAAATGTTTGGAATGGAAAAGAGAATTATTTGAAGATGAGAAGCAGGATCAAGTAGAATTCTGAATGCTTTTATAGAGAATAAAATTGATTTAGACTGTAGAGTGATTTTCTTGGAGGACTGCCCTATAAGATGGGGTAACCCATCGATAGGTACCCAGAGTTACACCTATCCTATAAACATTAATAACAGTCACCTCAATAGACATTTTTGAAAGGAAGCAAAGAAACCTAAGTTTGTGATCAATTTTACAGCTAAAAAATCGCCCACTTTATATAGAGCCAAATGATTAGAACTTTAAATTTTTATTATAGGGATCACATCCTCAGATAATGTCTAAGACAACTTCTTGGAGGCTGGTACCATCAGTTGACGTATATCCTGCCATTAGTTTTCGAGTACTAAGGTTTAAACGTTTCAATAATAGAATTCTGGAAATGATCTACAGGTGGGGCAGTAAGTTCTTCTACCAGTAAGAAATGCAGTACCAGGTAAGAATTCTCCTTTGGTCATATGAATGAGTTTTTGAATGGTTAACTACTTCCCCAGTTATTGAAATGAACCTAAATTTCTCCTTAGGCAACAACGTAAGTTCAAAATAGTACTGAATGACAGTTACCCCTTTGCTCAGTCCATTTTCCCTACTTTGAGCTCTTTTCCTAGGTTCCACTATTCTTCTTTTTTCTCTTCAATTTTAGAAAATACTGCACCAGGGAAATGAGGCGTCCAAAATCAGTGCTACAAAAAAGCGAACAAAAAGCACAAGCAGCAAAGGGTTGGTATCATCTTTATATGAAAGAATAGGCCCACTATTTTTTTTCTTTTTCTCCAACTCCTGACCCAAGTCCTTCCAGAAAGGACCACAACACCAAAGCCTAGGGAGAGACAAAGCCAACCACGATAACACGATTATAACTTTTTCTCGTATGAGGTGAGAATCAAGCTGTAACTAGGCACCTCAGAATTTCACATAACGTGAAGTATTGGGTGAAAGCAGGCCTTCCTAATAACACGTTATATGGTGTGTGATACAGTGTAGCGCTCTAGGAGTCTGGCCCCTAAACCTGACACCGTATTGTTGTTGAAGGTGCACAAGTCTGAATTAACATGATGCTATAAAGTAATGCTTTATTGATAGCAACATATAGGAACTATATACTCAAACAAGAAAACAGGTAAATATGTTTTACATAGTTTCATGCAGTAGTAATGGCAAGACCTTTAAGAAAGGATACTACTAAAGATTAAGAAACATTAAGGTTTGAATGTGTGCCCAGGATGTAATTGGAGACAGAACTGAGTACCATTTATGACATTTAAAAGTTTTAAAGCTAACTTTTCAAAAATGAATTCTATTAAATTTAAATGTTTCTGATGAAGAAACAAGAATTCCCTACAGTAGATCTATCTTTTCCACGGGGATGGGAATAGTAGTACTGTAATACCAGCACCTGTCGTTGCCCTCACAAAAGAGTTCCTAGTATTCTAACATATCTTGTCCTCTTTTTGATCTGTGAAAGTTTCATTGAGGTTGGAAATATTAGAAGTTTAAAAAAAAATTCTACCAAGTATTTTCTTCTCTAGAATGTTAGTTTGCTTTTGTTCACAAACAAAACCACAATAAAAAACATTCCAGAGAAGAACACAATGAAAACACAATTGCTTCTAGAAACTTAAATTTACCTACCTCATACTATTACACTTTCTCATTTAGTTGGCTACAAAAATAACCCAAGGTGATTGTAATGTTAGATTTAGAAGGTGAACTGCACACTGCCCCATTTTTAGAATTAAGTATCACCATCAGGAAGCACTTTAAGTATAATCTTAGCTTGAATGTGTGAATGTGTATTCACAGACGGTTTCCACACCCAAACTAAAAATTTTTGGCATCTGAATTACTTGTAGGTAAGATCAAACAGGCATCCTACCAAACAAGAAGACCACTCCTTTCACTTTGTGTCTGCGGCTGTATGTGGCATCCATTTGGAGAGAACCGTCCTTCTTATCCTTGGCACTCCTGACTTTTGTCACCTGGTTCTCTCTGATTGGAGATGGCTGGAAAGGAGGCTTATGAGCATAAACTTATCTGAGACTTTCTCTAGGAGACTTTTAATCCAGTAATACCTTAATCATGAAGTAGGAAAATTCTTTGTCCATGTTCCTTAGTTAAAGAATAAGACTGCTGTCGTGTTCCTCTGACTAGCACACAAATGTATTTAGTCAGCGGGAACCAGGTACCCACTCTATGCCTGGCCCCATGCTAGGGATTAAAGGGACAGCACTGAATAATTTTGGCACATGATGACCATGAACAACAAGCAAAAATGATCATGTTTTATTGGGTCAAAATGTGTGAATACTGGCATAGATGTGTTTTTTGGTTTGTTTTGTTTTTTTAAAACTTCACCTACATTCCAAACATGAATAGCCTGAAATTGATCTTCTTGTAGTGACAAGTGCAACACTTCTCGTGTGGGTTATGTGTCAAGCAAGTAGCAGGGAAGCAAATGGCACGTTAATGCCATGGCCTCAACATCTCCTTATGTTTCTACCAAGGCAGTAAAGGCTAAATCTAGAGGAAAGTAGTTCAGGATAATTTTCTAACAACTTCCGTTTCGTGATAGGAAAAATATTCACACAAGTTTTTAATCGTGATGAGTAATTTCAATTGATTAAAAAAAAAAAAGCACTGTGAAGGAAATAGCCCATAGTGATAGCAAGGGAATACCATAAAGAAGGGCTTCTAAAACTTGTCCAGTATTGCACTGAATCAGAGTGGATCTGGAAACATTTTCTGCCTTCAGATTCATCTGCCAGAGTCCACATCCTAGGTCAGGGATGATTCAGATTTTCCCACTGCTTCGTGAACAAGGTGCACCAACAAGCCAGTTCAGCCCCCCATTAGAAGAGTTCTAATTTTTTGCTAAGTGTATAAATCATTTTTATGCCATGAGCACTCAGAGCTCTGATTCCTGAGATAATACAGTCGTGGTTCTAAGAGTGACAGCCTATTATAGATATGATATGACCCTATTTTTACAGCCAAGGGAACGAAGGACAAAGATAGTTTCTGAGGTAGCAATTTGGCCCTAAGGAGGAGGTAAAATGAAGCTCAGATTTGGACAGGAGACTTAAGTCCCGTTCTCATCCTGGTTACTGGCAATGGTTGGGCACTTAACCTCTCATTGCCTCAATTGTAAAATGGGGATGATGGTGTCTGACCCATTTATCAACAGAGATGTGAAGAGGATGAGAAAGGTAATCTAAGGGAAGAAAATACTATGAGTTCATCATGGAATAGTCATGTGTTCTTTTTCTTTAAAGTGTCACTCATGTTCCTAAAAACGATCTCTGTAAGTGGCGCACGTTATCAATTCAATAGCATTTTTGTGGTTCTGTATTTATTTTCTTAAAAAATTAATTCTGATGTTTACCACATTAGGACATTAAGGAACAAGGCACGGACCTCTTTTAACAGGTGGGGAAGAGAAGAACAGAGAGCTCAACGATTTGCTGAAGATCACATGACCCTCCCCCCACACCGAGGAACCCCAGGCTTCAGGAAATGCCAGCGTACCACCCCAGAATGCCTGGCAGGTCATGTGTTTTGAATTACCTGCTAAAAGATTCTAAAGACTGTATTTTATCTTCTAGGATTCCTGGGAGATAAAAGGTCAAAAGTAAAAAGCAAAAGTGTGCAGAAGTTGTGGAAAATTTATGAAAATTGATTTTAGTCCCCTCCTCCCTACTTCCGAGGCCACATGGACCTGCTCCCTCCCTGCCTGAATGGAAGGGAGGGGGGCCCCTAGATCCTGCCCCAGCCTGTCCCCCAAATAAGTAGTTGGCCCAACCGCCCGGTGTCCAGCCTGGGCTTCTCGTGCACTTAAAGGGAGGCAGAGATTGCAGAATGACTGCATTCTGGAGAATGGAGTCAGGGTTGACTTTTTCCACCTCCAGCATCGGCCAGAGGGCAGTTTCCTTCCCTGCTTTGCACTTATCTCCTGCGTGTACTTATGAAATTGATGTTTTAAAGTGTCTGATCATAATTTCTCCATGTGTGAGAAAGGAATTTTGAGACCCATCCCTAGGACTGCTGTAAATAGTAAACAAGCCCCCCCACCCCCGAAAAATATGATGGGCTTTT